AAAAAAAGGGAAAGTAGGCAGACGGGCTAAAACGAAAAGGCGCGGCCAACGTATAGAGAAAGAAGGTATACATTTAGTCTTTTAGAAGAGAAGGCCCTTGCCTTACATTTAGATAAAAAGGTCTTTTCTTACAAAAGAAAAGAAAGAACGGCTAGTCGCGGCCGAAGTAACATATACATATATCTGTCTGTAGTCATGAACAAAAGAGAAAATATATATGTAGATAAAATAAAATGTATGTATATGGTTAATTATTACATCCCAAAAAGAGAAACAAGGAAAAAAAATAGTTAAAACAGCCGCTCATCGCCCGCCAAGACCCCTTCGCTGAACATCCCCCAGATCATGCAGGTGATCTTTCTCCAAGCAATGTCCCCGCCGTCGATGTCTGCCTGCCACCTCGCTCGGATCAGCTTCCGCTTGGCCAGGACCTTCTTCGTCTCGGTCGCTGCCTTGAGGATTTGCTTGGCCGAGGACTTCAGCTCATTCCCGGTCGCGACCGCGCCATCTCGGCGTTGGAGTATAAGATCTTGGCGAGCCTGGAGCTCGGCAATTTGGGCCTCAACCTGCGCAAGCCCTTCATTCTCTCGTTGGACGATGAGATCATTCTCCTTCAATCGGGCCATTGCAGGTTGGACTTGTTCTTTGATCACCTCCAGATCCCGCTCGAGCGAGCTCCCTTCGGCCATCCTTGCGACGACTTCAGCATACCGGCCGATCATTTCCTCGCCTTCGGCCAGGCAGGCTTGCAATTCATCCAGCTGAGCCTAGTTTAACAGACCAATCACCATAGCCGTGTCCAAGCAGGACCTAAACTCCATAAGCGCCCCGGCGGCGGTCATTTGCTGAACTCCAAGGAGGAGGAACTCACGGAGCCGTTCAATGACGGTCTTGGAATCCTCGTCCAAGGGAGCTGAGGCCGAGCTCCCCCCTTCCTCATGGAGCCTGGCATATAGCTCCTCTAAACTACCAACGGTTCGTGCACTTGCGAGTATCACAAGTTGAGGATGCAGCTGAATCCATTTTGGTGCAGCTGTATCTACGCAACACATAGTGCGAAATTCTGAAAAGAAAAACAGTTAAGTCAGGCATAAGTAAAACAGTCTCTTACCGAATGGAAGACAATGCCGCTTGGACGATGAGGGATGGACGGCGACGGCTCAACAGGCACGTCTGCAGCGGCCTCTTCGGCAGTCTCTTCGGTAACCTCCTCGGCGGCCTCTTCGATGGCCTCCTCGGCGCCCTCGTCGGCATCCTCTTTGGTGGCCTCGGCGGCAACCTCTTCGGTGGCCTCGTCGGCAATCCCTTCAACAGGTGGCACTTCTACAGACACAGTCTCAGCGTCCAGCATTTCAACCACCTCATCAGCGGCCGCCTCCTCAATCTCCATCTCGCCCGCGGCCTCCTCTTCGACTACCATCTCGGTAGCAGCTATTTCCTCGATCGGCATCTCGGCCGTTGCTTCCTCCTCGACCACCACTTCATCCTAAGGAAAGAACCAAATTACCAAAGTGAATAAAGAAGGGTGGGGGTGACCTGGAGAATAGAGAAGAGAGGAAGAATCAAGAAATCCTTACGGTCACGGCGTGCTTGAGGCCTTAAATGCGCCGACTGGCCTGCGCATTTAATGCCCCAGTTGTCAATCACTTTAGAAAGAATGCAAAGGGTCCATCCCTTGGAATCCATTCGGCCCCTACCCATGCCGAGGCCGAAGAATCCAGGGATGTGGGGGCAATGTTTGTG